AAAAAAAAAAAAAAAAAAAAAAAAGACCAAATAAATAAGACAAAACAAAACCAAAATGCAGAGTGGAATAAAGAAAGAACCAAGATCCATGCTTCTGAGTAATTAGTTCACTAACTTATGAGATAGCTTGCAAAGTATTGCTCTTAGTAAGGGTGCTTTTAATTTTTTTCTTATGTGCCATAGTCAGTAGTATATGGGGGGTGGCACAGACTTTATTGGGCACATCAGTGGGTACTCTAAGGGATAGTCTTAGTAACTATGTCTTCTAGTGCTCAACGGTTATTGTTTTCCCTTGAATACCAGGGTCTGTACGCTGTGGGGAATTTCCTGCCCAGTGAAGAGAGTGTGTTTCAGCACAGAGACGCCCTCAGATCTCTAACAGACCTCAATCAAGACCCCAGCCGGGTTTTGTCAGCTAAAAATGGTAGCAGCAGCGATGGAATTGCTCACACCGAAGGCATCCTCAACCGAAACCACAGAGATGCTAGCTCCCTAACAAACCTCAAAAGGGCGAACGCTGACGTGGAGATCATCACGCCTCGGAGCCCCATGGGGAAGGAGAACATGGTGACCTTCAGCAATACCCTGCCCAGAGCCAACACGCCGTCGGTGGAAGACCCTGTCCGAAGGAATGCGAGCATTCACGCCTCTATGGATTCTGCTCGATCCAAGCAGCTCCTCACTCAGTGGAAGAATAAGAATGAAAGTCGGAAGTTGTCGCTGCAAGTTATGGAGTCCGAGCCGGGGCATTCGCCGCCCAGATCCATAGAAATGAGGTCCAGCTCGGAGCCCTCCAGGGTTGGGGTGAATGGAGAGCACCACGGTCCTAGCAATCAGTACCTCAAGATCCAACCCGGCACTGTCCCGGGCTGTAACAACAGCATGCCTGGAGGGCCCCGGGTGTCCATCCAGTCCCGCCCCGGCTCCTCACAGCTGGTCCACATCCCGGAAGAGACCCAGGAAAACATTAGCACCTCCCCCAAAAGCAGCTCAGCTCGCGCCAAGTGGCTGAAAGCAGCCGAGAAGACAGTGGCCTGCAACCGGAGCAACAGCCAGCCGCGCATCATGCAGGTGATAGCCATGTCCAAGCAGCAGGGCGTCCTGCAGAGCAGCCCCAAGAACAACGAGGGCAGCACGGTCACCTGCACCGGCTCCATCCGCTACAAGGCCCTGACCGACCACGAGCCCAGCGGGATCGTGAGAGTGGAGGCTCACCCCGAGAACAACAGGCCCATCATCCAGATCCCGTCCACCGAGGGCGAGGGCAGTGGCTCGTGGAAGTGGAAGGCTCCCGAAAAGGGCAGCCTGCGCCAAACTTACGAGCTCAACGACCTCAACAGAGACTCAGAAAGCTGCGAGTCCCTGAAAGACAGCTTCGGCTCCGGAGATCGCAAGAGAAGCAACATTGATAATAACGAACATCACCACCACGGAATCACCACCATCCGGGTCACCCCTGTGGAGGGCAGCGAGATAGGCTCAGAGACGCTGTCCATCTCTTCCTCTCGTGACTCCACCCTGAGAAGGAAGGGCAACATCATTCTAATCCCTGAAAGAAGCAACAGCCCCGAGAACACCAGAAATATCTTCTACAAAGGGACCTCTCCCACGCGAGCCTATAAGGACTGAGTGATGACCATTCAGTCATTTGGGTGACCCCCCACCCAAGACCTCGTGTTGATTCTACTGTTCCAGAGGATTAGGAAGCCTTCTTGCCAAATTAGATTGTTCACCATCAGCCCAGAACTCTACTAACTCTTGAGAACTACCACACTGAACTTGTAGACTTGACATCTAGGGAGGGGAAAAGCACAATGCAAGAACCTAACTAATGTGATGATGTGAGGAGTTTTCTTTTTAAGACCTGTCATCCAATGTAAAAGGTTTTGCAGAGGGTGGTATCAAAAGAAAGTGGTTTCCTTCTATGTATGCTATTTTACTTCCTGAATGTGCCAACTTTGGAGATTTTTTTTTCTTTATAATTAGCTGTGGGAATCCACAACACACAGGTTTTTCCCTACAGCAGAGGCCATGCAGTATTATATATTCACTTTACAGAATCTGCACCTCAAGCTCAGTATGGGTGGTGCTGACTATTATAGTACATATACCATGTAAACTCTCAAACTCTATTTAGCTGTGAAGTAGTGGTGTGCAATTCCTTGTAAAAGAAATGCTACTTTATTAAGAAGATGCTGGCTACTTTGTGTTAGAGTAGGACAACCGCAGCTTCCCTGTAGTGGCTCTCACAGTAAAGGTAAAAACAAAACGTTTTATGTGCATTTCTTCAAAATTATGCTTTCTTCAACATCAAAACTGTATAGGAATATTTTCAGTGAAAGGGAATAACTAGTACTTTTTCTGCATAGTTTTTCTGCTGCTTATTATTTATTTAAGTACAGGTACTGATAAAGAAGGATCTGTTTTCAGTGAGTAAATTTGCATAACTTGAAAAATACCTTGCTTTAGAGAATCTTTTGAAATTATAGTGATTATGTTTTGCATTTTATGGCTTTTCTTTATTACTGAATTTTGTGATATTCTAGATATGTTCTATTTCAAAAGCAAAAATGACAATTGACATTCCTTGAGAAAAATATACTGCTGTAAAGTTAGACATATGAAATCTGAGCCAAAACTGGACTTTGTGGGTTATATTGCCAGATAGTGGTCAAGTCTATCCTTAGATGTCTCCAAATGGCTACATTAGATTGCCATCTTAGTGAGTAAATAGTGCACAACTTTCATTTTGTCCCAGATTACTTTTCTTTCTCAATATCCTGATAACCAGTAAATTAAAATCACAGTGGCTGAGTTTTAATCTCTTCCCTAAAATATTTCTGTGAATTGAGCACCAACAGGAAGAATTTGGGGGGAAATGTAAATTGATAAATGAAAGTGTCTCCCAGTATAAATTAAGAATGAATTTCTTCAAAATATCTGAACAAGCACAGTTTTAGTTCTAAACAGGCAATCAACAGTTTTCGCTACCTAGCTTGTATTAAGCCTTGAGCCTAAATCAAAGGAAACTAATACTATCAATAAAAAGATTTAAAATTTTTGAAGCATTTTCCAAGTTAAATAGTTAAAGTATGAAGAAATATTTGGTTCTTAGAATTTGGTATTAAAAATTTCTTTTTTTACACCATTTCTTAAGAATTCTAAAGTACACTTGATGATTGCCAAGATAATAAATGGAAACAACACAGGCTGGTTAATCTGACCTCAGTTCAGTTTTCAGTAAGAACAAGAGTTGTTCAGAGAGGAAAAGTATCACATCATTCTCAGTTTCTTTGGGGAAAGGGCCGGGCTTCCTAGAGAAGCCAATCTCCTAAAGCATTAGGAATTTAGCTGAAACCAGCAAAATTGAAAACTTGGCAATAAAATGCAGACTCAACCATATCCCTTCTGGCAATTTCCTTCTCAGAGAAGGAAGTGGGAGTAAAATGCTGCCTTCCCCTCTTCTCACCTTTGCCACCATCATGCCACTCCTACTGGCTTTTGCCAATGTGTAGAGGGAAAGATGGGCTGGTTTTAGTACTCTGAAGAAAAACTAAGCTGCAGCATTTCAGGTGCAGTGTGATATTTCCTAATATTTCATATTTCTTAACAAAAGATTTTAAAGTACTTCTCTAGTCATTGAATTTTTTTTCTTTACATAATATTGATATATTCTTTTTCTACTCAAAGTGCCAAAGGCTACAGTTTTTAATGACTTAACTAATTGTACCACATTGTTAAGGAAATATAACGATAGACACTATAACTCAGACCTCTGCATGTATATTTGATAACACATCTTTTGTAAAGAAAATTACAAAAAAAAAATTTGTTTACATTCCACTGGTACCTTAATTTAAGATAAATCAGACTAACAGGTGGTATCTCTTCTTAGTGTTCTATTATCTTATTTGCAATGGGAGCACTTCTTCCTTTGTTAGGCTGTGCTTTATTGATAAAACCAAGTACTGAATAAAGAGAGTTAATTATCTTTTTAAAGTGAATAAATTATGAATATATAATATATATAAAGTATTGTGTTTAATAAAATGTTATGCAATGTTTTCCAAACTGATAAAGTTTGTAAAGTGCTATAAATGTATTTTGTTAAGTACAGATCAGAGCTATTGTGTGAGTATATTGTGCTAACATCATAGAAATAAAGATTAGATTTCTTCATCAAAATTGAAATATTTTGATTTTTACTTCATAAATATATATCATAGATATAATATAAATGTATATATTGATATATATATTATATATCTAAATATCTTACTATATATCTTCAAAAAATATATATGTGTGTGTGTGTATATATATTGAGAGAGAGAGAGAGAGATTATGAACGAATAATACCTTGGCTGACAGGAAAGCAGAACAGGAGCTAGGAATAAATCAAAACTTACTAAATACTTACTAAAAGTAGTTTAGAAAAGAATCACACCAGGGCCCAGGGATTTAGCTCAGTGATTCCACCACCTGCCTTGAAAGTGCAAGGACCCAAGTTAGATCCCAGGTACCAAAAATAAAAAATAAAAAAAGAAAAGAATCAAACTAAGAAGTTTGTCAAACACATGTCTTGTTTACAACTTTTACTTTATATTTATCAGAGGAGCTTTTTTACACTTATTTGGATGTGGATTATTTATTTTACTATCAATGCCATTATGCTATCAATATTATAGAATATTAAAAAGAAAGTATGAAAGATTCAAGGTCAAGTGTTCAGAATCAATTTATGAATAAGAGTAGAAGTTGTGGGCCAGGGATTTAGTTCAGTGGCTCCGCTGCCTGCCTTGCAAGCACAAGGACCCGAGTTTGATTCCCCAGTACCAAAAAAAAAAAAGACTAGAAGCTGTGCACATTTCCTGAAATGTTACCACCCTTTGTGCACCCATGGTGTGGATATTGCAGCTTTTCTTAAAAGTTTGCTTCACTGCCTCTTCCAAACTGCTAAGTGTTCATCATATGAATTTTACTGCCAATACTTCTTCACCTCCCTAGAAGGTATTAACACAGGTTTTCAGGTCACAACCAGAATTCATGCTTTATGATATTTAAGTAGCATAAGATGGAGAATGAAAGATGTAGTTCCCAGCTGTTGGACAATACCACCAACTAAAAACAACCGCCCAGTAGCAATCAAGCAACTACATCACCACTGCTGCCTAAGGAGGCATTAATGGTTGAAATACCTTTCGCAATTTTACACCTTTCACCTCTGAAACATGAACATTCAGCTATACTACACTTTCTAAAGGACAGTAGGACGTCCCTTCTAAATTTCTATGAATTAGCATTATGTGTTTTACCTAGTAAACAAAATTATTTATATGAAAACAGAAAAATAACTTGCTGACCTAAAATGTCTGATTAGTGTGTATTATCGTCTTTGACCAGGAGCTTAACAGAGGCAAGATGATTTGGGTTGCTGAGAGCCTGTACCAACAATTTTACCACATAATGTATCAAAATAGGTCACTTGTATACACGCACCCCTGGTTCCAGTGCCTTTGTCAGAAGGAATCCAGTGAATAGATTCTAGGTTATACACTCAGGAAGCTATCATTAGGGTTGTGTGATTTCTGTCTTTTAAACATTAAGTCCTGTTTTAATGTCTATGGGTCATTTTATATTGTAGGTCAAAGGGAATATAGAAATTTATGTCTGATCCAGAGGATAATTTAATCAAAATAATGTAACTAAAGCAAAAAGAATTGGCATGGTTTAATCCAGAGGGAAAACATAGCCTGCAAAGTGAGGATTGTCTGCTGTGACATGATATAATACTTAATTTTCTCTAGTGTTTGTGTCTGCCTTCTACCTTTAATTTTGCAGAAAACCTGGAAAATAATCCAGTGCTACATAGTCTACTTTGAAGACAACATAGATTTCCGTAATAACATATGGATTATGCTAGCTAATGCCTAGTTATAGAAAATCATCAGTGAGCATGCTACCTAGTCGCAAGAAAATATTTGGATGAGCCATTTGATCTAGATATATTATTTCACTGCTCAGTTCTTAGTTGATGAAAGTCCCTAATTATGTGTTTTCAAGCCCCACAGTCAAGAATGAGGCGTGAAGATCAGCTGAGTACAACTACAGTTCTGTAAGAAATTCTACTTGACAAACTTGCTGAGCTGCCACTTAATCTCCTTCATATTTCCTGCCCTTAAGATTCTTAGTCACTGCCTGTGAGAAAACCCATCAAAATTCTGTTTATGTTTTTGTTTTGTCTTTTTGGTACCAGGGATTTCACTTGGAACCTTGTGCTTATGAGGCAGGCAATGGCACCACTGAGCTAAATCCCCAGCCCAACCCATCAAAATTCTAAAGGTACCTTTTGAAAAGGTATATCTAACGTAATTTAAGAGAATTGATTTGAATAAGGAAATATACAAAAATTGCATAGATCGAAATTCTCCTTTTCCCTTAATCACCTTAGTTCCAATCTGTGCCATTCTCAGACTATGTTATTTAATGACAAGACATTTATGAAGATATAAAAAGTCTTTTTCTAAATTACTATTATAGATAGATGAACTAGGTGAAAATATAGGAAGTCCGATAGGGCTAAGTCCCTGAGAGGGCCAGGACAAAGGTGAAACTCACCACAGCTGCACGTTGGCAGAAAACCAGGGCTCAAGATGGAGACAAGATGACCAGACCCACATACTTCTTCAAAGAACTGAGCTTAGTGAAGTATAGATGGGCACTGACTACCCTAGGAGTGACCAGAGACCTCTGGACCCACCGCCTCCTAGAAGAACCCTTGCTCTTTCCATCCACACTTACTACATGACTTGCTCCTCAATTGGACACCATCACCTAAGGGAATATACTTGTAACCTTATTGGATGTTCGTGGCTGTGGCCCACATTGTACCCATGTGGTTTCACCCTATAAAACTTCTCTGTAAAGTGGAGTCCTTGGACTCCCCACTCTGGACCCCTCATGCGCCTCAGGAGCTTTCCTATCAATAAAAATCTTCCTACTTTTAATCACAGTCATTCCTAGGACTCATTCTTCAATTTCTACAGAACAAGAACATAGCATATCATACGGTTAACAGGTTGGGAGATATATTTCATATTTCATATTTTCCCACAACATTACCATAGAATGTATCAAAGGCTTAAAAATAAACTGCAAAACTTTTATTAGAAAAACAGGAGAAAAATCCTTGGTTTCTAAGACTAGTCTTTGCTAGATATTGGTTTGTGAATATTTTTCCCCCTGGTCTACAGTTTATCTTTTCCCCCTTTCAACAAGGTCCTTCCATTATGCCTCTAGGGATGTACAATGTATAGACTTTTATAACTGGCAAATAAATTTGTATGTATTTAAGGAGTATTCTGTGGTGTTTTGATGTATGTATACATTATTATATGATTACCACAGT